GCCTCAGTAATTCTTGATTGTGTCTATCCCCAAATATTTTTCTACCTTCAATTCCTGTCTATTCCTTTCCCTTCTCTACTCATTGAAGTTTTCCTAAAGTAGCTAAGGAATTTGCTCTTTGGCACTGAAGTGAATAAATCATCCTGAATCTGGCATGTGGGTGAATGTTCAATTACTTTATATAACTTTATTTGAGAGCTTTCATCAACTATTTCTGCTTCATCAATTTCCAGAAATTTCAGTCCTTTGGAGTCTTCTAGTGCAGTTTGTACAAAATACAGAAAAGATAGCCATAAAATTATATGCTTCTCTTGGGATCAGAATCAGAGAGCAAAATCTGTTTAAGAATGAATTCAACCTCCAACTCTCTTGCCTGTTCAAAAAGGGCATCCACAAAGTGGGCATTTATCACCAAAAGAAAATATTATTCCAATTTATTTTGATGGTAAAAACTCTGACCCTAAACACCAGGGAGTGCCAGGCAAATAGCTGGTTTCTGCCCTTTTTATCCACAGATTTCCAAGTGAAAATGAGAGGAGGATTATATTTTGGGTATTTTCTGGGTTAGTCTGGAGGAAGAAGAGAAGCCAGAAGATTTAAGGGGTTTGTTCCTAGTTAGGAATAAAGGTCGGGGGTGGAAGAGACTGTCAGTCTGACTCATACTAGACCCTTCTTGTAGAATGGCCACATCAGCCTCCTGGGACTGAGGGGATTTACCCAGCCTTCAGTAGGGCTGGATATGAGGACAGTCAGGTATGAGCACCTTAGGCCAGAGGCCAGGATTTGGCTTCATAATAACTTGAAACAAACATATAACGAGAGAAAATTCACCTTTTTTTCCTCTTTTTTCTCCCTGGTGCTAGGAATTAAACTGAGGGCCTCGCACATAGCAAGCACACACACTACCACCGAGCCACATCTCCATGCTGAGCTTTTGGTTCATATTCCTATTGTTGCCTAAAGTTTGTGAGTCAACACATAATTTCTGCATAAAGATGACCTGCATTTTCAGGGATGTCAGTGAGGACATCATATATATTTTCCTCAAAGAGCCTGGGTACTAATGATGTAGAAAGTGGCTGTTTCAAGACAAGGTCAACAACAGAAGGAGATTCGTGCAGAGAAGATTTCTAATTGTGTAAAAGGTTGAGGGCTGGGGGTATAGCTCAGTGGTACTTGCCTAGCATGCACAAGGCCCTGGATTTGATCCCCAGAACTAGGAAAAAAAATAATAAGGAAAGAAGAAACAGTTTGGTTTAGGAGATATTCTGCATTATGGTCAAATTCTATCTTCAGGTTTATCAAATGAAGCAAGTATTATCCAGTGCTTTGACACCTCCAGGAGACCCACAGCATCCACCCCACTCTGCTTGGCCCTGGAGAGGACTTCAACTGTTCTATCCCCAATTATCTACTATTTTCCATTAAGACAGGGCAGCTGGTCACTGTTAGGTAAAATCTGTTTGTGAAAAAGTCTGTCATTTTTCAAGATAGCTCAATATTTACAAAATGGTTCTGGTGAAGTCATTAGAAACCCTGAAGCTACAGCAGTGTGTTCACATGGGCTTCAATTACTGACAATCTAGGCTACTTCACTCGCACAACACAATAGATAAAAAGGAATCCAGTGCCTAAGTAAAGACGCTCCCTTGCTAGTTTAGTTACAACAATGACTGTGGAAAGGTTGGGATTCCTTAGAGATGTGACACCCCATTGAAATATTCCTAGGCTTCCTCTCACCCCAAGTTTCCAAAATCCAGGTTACACTCTTAAACGTAGTCAGGACTGCAGACCCAGTGGAATGACCTGGGCCCCCCAGGATCATCCTTCAGAAACAGGAAAGCACCTCCACCTCCTTGATCACATGGCTTGGACATCTGCTGAGACTACACCACTGCAAGGGGCAGCAGTCACGATGGGCACGGTAATGACGTGCCTGTGAATCCAGAAGTCACAGGGCAGCAAAGAGAAACCCTCAGAAATGACAACTTGGCAACAACGCTGCAACACATGGATGCAGGAACCTGGACAGAAAAGGACAGTCATCTTCTTAATGCAGACTAGCTTACTGAATTTGTTTTTGGATGCCTCTTCACTGAGTTTGCCAAATGAAGCAAATCCAAATTGGTTCCCAAAGGCAGGCACTTGCTCTTGGCTAAACTGATGCTTTCTTCATATGCAACAATTTTATTGTAACCCAAGTCAGATTATTCCTAGGAAAAATGAGCATTTTATTTCTAGACAAATATATAGTACCACAGGAAGGGTCACTGAGACATGGCAAATGTGAAGAGCCTGAGCTGGCATGAGCTGGGTGGTGTGTGGAGGACATACCTGCCTGGGCAAGAGAAAGCCCTGACTTTAATGAAAACACCCCACAAACTACTGATGGTGCTACTGTAGGCTTCCATAACATGAGAGCCTTCCTTCTCCCTTCACCAATGATCTCCTGGGTCTGGACTCAGAAAACAGTTCCTTGTACTTGTCATTCTCTGTCACCCAGAACCCCAAATTCCTGAAGATTCAGATCTCAGGATTCTTGGCAATACCAAGTCTCTATCGCTAAATGGAGTTGAGCTGAAATTGCTTTATTATGTTTCCATTTTCTTCTTTTTCTTTCTATCAAAATGAAATAAGGTCTGCAAGGTGAGACAAGAGTCAGGAGAGAATATTTGCATTCCAGCTCTGCTACTTACTAGCTGTATCACCTCAAGTGAGTTACTAACCCTCTCAAAGCTATTTCTGTAACATAATGATCATGGTATCGGCTTTTATCAACAACACTACTACTTAATATTCATTGGCCATGTACAATGTCAAACACTTCCTAAGTTCTGTATATGGTCATCTCATTTAATGATCACAGTATCCCATTGATTTGTGTGTTGCTATTATCCCTATTTTATATAATCAAGAAACTGAAGCTGGGAGAAATCACATTGATATTGAAGTAGGAATTTGAAGGCAGGCCCTATCACTTGATGGGGCAGGCAGTGAACCACTAGATATAGCATGAATTAATGGACATGATGACAACATCCTTAGCGTGGAGACTGAAATATGATAAAAGCTCAATAAATGCTTGAATACAATTAATGGTAAAATGGCATTAAAGAGCAGAATAATACTGTAAAGAATATTAAGTCTTATGAAATACTCCATTTTGTCAGTCAACAGTTAATGAACTCTTTCAAGGCAGATACTGCAATTACTTTTTTTTGTAGCCTCACATCCTACTACATCATTTATGATAAAAAATACTCTATAAGCTCTGTTAAATGAAGAATGCGGAGGCATCAGTACTATAGAAAAAAGCTGACTAAAGATACTTTCACTTGACCTAAGCAAAAACATCACAGCTGGGCACATTGGCCCATGTCTGTAATCCCAGCTTCTGGGGAGGCTGAGGCAGGAAGATTACAAATTTGAGGCCAGCCTCAGCAATTGAGGGAGATCCTGTCTTAAAACAAAATTTAAAAAGAGCTGGAGGTTTAGCTCAGTAGAAGAGTACTTGCCTACCATGAGCAAGGACCTGGGTTCAACCCTTAGTACCATGAAAGGGATTAAAAAAAATTTACACAGATTGATGTTGCCTTTTGCCCTTCTATAAATTAGTATGGCAACTTCTCAAAATCCTCTTAGCTATAAGTAACAAAAAATACAAAGAATTGTGCTGTATATTTGTCTGTATCAAATAATACGTATAAAGCAATAACTTCCTTTTCAAATTGTTCTGAGGACACCTAAAACAAAGTGAAGGCTACCCTTGGCCAAGCACTAGCCAAGTTTAAACATAATGCTGCATAAGCATAGACTTAGGAAAGCTATAGTTTTGGTTTAGGAGAATTGGAGATTATAAATCTCATTTCTAATTAAAAGTGTTTTAAAATTCCTAGTGAAATATCATAAACAAAAATAATGATTTTCTTAAAATATTTTGGATTATATTGCCTTTTAGAAAAATCCATTCTTATAGAACTTATAGAAGTTATTATTAAACTTTTATAAAAATGAACTATTCAAAAAGACAACATTGTAGACCAAAATACTAAATTTATGGAGTTTACTAAAATCTCAATTTTAGAAATGAGAAAATCTGGTACAGAAAAACATCATGTCTCGCTCAAGGTCACACAACTAACTGGTAAATGGCAAAACTAAGCCTATCTCCTGCTTCAGTGATATTTCTGGGCATCTGAAAAGAAAAGTGGTCTTGGAACAATGACATTTGATTGTTAAGAGAGCAGACCAGCTTCAGCACAGTTCACACATGCTCAGAGCTAAGTACATTATATATGCACACATATATGAATATCCTTTATAATTTTTAAATCACTTTTATTTCACACAAAGTTTTTCTTTTTTGGTACTTAGGATTGAACCCAGGGGTGCTCAACTACTGAGCCACATCCCCAGCTCTTTTTCATATTTTATTTATAGACAGGGTCTTGTTGAGTTGCTAAGTGCCTCACTAAGTTGCTGAGGCTGGCTTTGAACTAGCAATCCTCCTGCCTCAGCCTCCTAAGCCACTGGGATTACAAGCATGTGCCACCATGCCCAGCTTCATAGGGATTTTCTTGAGGATAAATTTTCTTGAGATTATTCCTACTTTTAAATTAAAGAAAAAAAGAGGGCAAGGAAGAAGATCATGAACATAATAATTTTATGCAAATCAACAAATATTTCTGAAAATTTATAATAATTATATTTAACAAAACATTTGGACAAGATGGTGTGGTAAGCAACTGCAGCTAATGTCCTAAATATACTGAAATCAGTATTCCAGTTTAACTGTGAAGTTGTAATGGGCAGAGAATCACCGGGAACTAGAGTGAATGTCACCAGCATGGTCTCACCCAGCCTTCTGTGTGGCTGTCTGAAGGTATTAAAGTCTGAGCTGCTTGAGGACCTAACTCTCATCACTCCAAGGATGGTCTCTCTGTTGGTTGAGGAGGGAGGGAGGGCGGGGCTGGTAAAGAGCAAATGGCTGTGATAATTACCTTGGCGTGTAAAGGACTCTCTCGGCCACCACAAAACCCACCCTGAAGAAGAGGTTGCTGGCTGGAATGAACGGGAACACCAGGAACAACAGGCCCACTAAAACTTCCTTGTGCTCTAGTCTCTGAAACACAAAATAACGAAGGACAAATCAATTTTGGTTTAATTCCACTTCAATCAGCAGTTAACCACCTCTTCCAATTTTGATTCTCAGTGAAGGAGTGAATAAACCGGAGCCCGTGAACCTTCTGACCAACGAGCTGAGTTTGTCACACAAAAGCCCCAGGCTGGGACAGCTGGCCTGTCCAATCACCCACAGCAGCCCGACACACACCTGCCACCAGAAACATCTGATGTTGGTACAGTGTGCTCCCTGACCCCTGCTCCTTGCTCTGAGTGGGCGCTGCGGCAAGCCTGCTTCTTGGTTCTGGCCCTTTTCAGATTCTTTGTCCCTGCAGGAACCTTGGGACAGTCCAGAGAGCATAGCTGCTGGGTAGACTGCAGCACACAGGCACCAGGGGGAGTTTAATTATGTCCCCTCTCCAAAAGAGAACACTTTTAGAAGAAAAGAAAAAAAAAAGAAACAAAAAACACACTGGGAAAAGGTATAGGGATACTGATGGTAAAATTTAGAACACCTATGTGGAGGACTCCATTGAGCCCCCAAATTTCTTTACCACCTCTCAAATGAAGCCAATAAAACAAGTATTTAAGCATCTATTCCACATATTTTTTTGTAATAAAAAAAATTACAAAATTTCATTAAATTGGCAAATGCTCTTTTTCCAATATTTGTAAAGATTTTTCTTGATCATTATAGAATTAAAATTTGCATAATGTATGAATTAGTTTTTATAGATTTTTAATTAAAATTTCTTTGGTACAATAATATGTTGTAATGAAAACTGTAAAAAAAAATTTATATTTCCACGTGCATATATGATATAGATAGATGCAACTGAAGAGAGTTCTATTTAAAACAGGCCTTAAATTTATTGATTTTATTATTTTTTTAAGTCTAAGAAGAAAACCAAATAGAACTTTCCATTTTACAAGATTAAATGTTTCCTATAAATATAAACAGTTAAAATAGTGTAATTCTTTTAATAATTGAAAAAGAATAAATAAAAGAATTTCATAAATATAAATAAAACTTCCTAATGGAAATTACAAATGCTTTAAGTATGCAAAGTAAAAGATGTTAAAGATCCTGGCTATTTGTCATCTGGATTTTATTAAAGTTTGTTTTTCTAACTATAACAGTATAGAGTAATAAAATTTCTATGAGCAATTCCATATATTTTGGACAGTTTACCTTAAATAATTAATAGTTCCATTAGTAATGATCTCATTTTTATTTAAATAAACCATTCCCTTTAGAAGAAAAATAAAAATATATAAATTATATCACAAGTTTTCAACTCAAGTGGATACAAAAGAAATGTTATATTTCTAAGGTTCTACCAAAATTGACCAGAAAAAAAAAAGTTAAAAGAAAAAGAGGAGCAAGTTCATTTTATTTAAAAGCTGAAAGTTACCTTTGTAATTTAGATTATACTTAAAATTTACAAAGTACATTTCAGTTTAAGAACTTAAGGGATGTAATTTAACAAAGAATAAACGTCTTAATAATAATCCTATGACATCAAGTGCAGGTATTTCTTGCTAACATTAAAAGTAAAGCTGAGAGTGAGTGTCTTATCATGTGGTCCTCATTAACTCCGAGCCTATGGTTGAATAGCTCACTGATATTCTCTTTGTATAGGTGCATTTTTAGTTTTTGCAATAGCTGATTACTTCTCTTGACTCTTTCCAAAAGCTGAAATATCCTTTTTAAAAAAAAATCCTGCCCTCCAATGTTCCTTTATTTTTCTCTAGTTTTCACATATGTGAGAGAAAATATTTGACCCTTGATTTTCTGAGACTCACTTACTCCACTTGGCATGATATTCTCTGTTTCTGTCCATTTATTATCAAAGGTCATAATTTCATTATTCTTTATTGATTAAGTAAAGAACCATTGTGCATATGCCACAATTTCTTAATCCATTCAACTACTGAGGGGCATATGGGATGATTCTATAATTTGGCTACTGTGAATTGTGCTGCTATAAACATCGAGGGTGTATTGCTCTAGTCTGCTTTTATTAGTTCTCTTGGAAAAATACCATGGAGTGGGATATCTGGGTCATATAGTGGTTCCATTCCGAGTTTTTGAGGAATCTCCATACTGCTTTTCTTGTTCCTGTTTTTAGAGGAAATACATTCACTTTTTCTCTGTTCAGTATGATGTTGGTTTTGAGTCTGTCATACATAGCCTTTACAATGTTGAGGTAAGTTCCTTGTATCACTGACTTTTCTAGTGTTTTTAACATAAATGGATGCTAGATTTCATCAAAGTCCTTTTCTGCATCTATTGAGATGATCATTTGATTCTTAATTCTATTTGTGTGAATTACATTTATTGATTTGAATACATTGAACCAATCTTGCATCCCTGGAATGAAACCCACTTGATCATAATGTATTTTCTTCTTAATTTGTTTTTGAATGTGGTTTGCTATGATTTTATCAGGGATTTTTGCATCTATGTTCATCAGGGATATTGTTGTGTAGTTTTCTTTCCTTGACACGTCTTTGTCTCCTTTTGGTATCATGGCTATACTGGCTTCATAGAATGCATTTGGACGTCTTCCTTCCCTTACAATTTCATAGAATACTTTGAGGAGGACTGGAATTGGTTACACTCTAACAGTCTGGTAAAACTCAGATGAGAATCCAGGTGGACTTGGGCTTTTCTTTGTTAGAAGGCTTTTAATTGCTGTTTCAATTTCATTACTTGATATTGGTTTGTTCATGTTTTCTATGTCTTCCTGGTTCACTCTGGGCAGGTCATACGTGGCTAGAAATTTGTCAATATCTTCCATTTTATTGGAGTAAAAATTTTCAAAAGTTTCTAGCGATCCTCTGGATTTCAGAAGTGTGTGCTTATGTTTTCTTTTTCACCTCTAATTTTGTTGATTTGGCTCTTCTAAACCTTTGGTTAGTTTGGCTGAGGGTTTGTCGATCTTACTTGTCTTTTTTTTCATTTGTTGTTTTTAGATATATATTACAATAGGGTGTAATTTGACATTGTATGTGTTCATGGAGTTCACCCATTCCATTTAGCAACTCATTCCTGTGGTTGTACATGACGTGCAGTTACACTGGTTGTGTATTCATATATGAGCATAGGAAAGTTATGACTGATTCATTTTGCTCTCTTTCCAATCCCCATCCACTCTCCCTTCCCTTTGGTACTCTTTGTCTAATCTGATGAACTTCTATACTTCACCTCCTTACCCTCCCTTGTTATGGGTTAGCATCCACATATCTGAGAGATCAGTCTGCCTTTGGTTTTTTGAGACTGGCTTATTTCACTTAGCATGACAGTCTCCAGTTACATTCATTTTCTGGCAAATGCCATAATTTCATTCTTCTTTATAGCTGAGTAATATTCCACTGTGTATGTATACCACATTTTCTTTATCCATTCATCTGTTGAAGGGTACCAAGGTTGGTTCTATAGCTTGGCTATTGTGAGATGCTATAAACATTGATGTGGCTGCATCACTATAGTATGTTGATTTTAAGTCTTTTGGGTATAAGCTTTCTATAGACATATTCATGTCTTTCTAAAGAGACTTCTAAAGAGAACGCAATACACTCTTATCAAGAAGAATGAAGAGTGTGGGTATAAATACTCTCAGATCAGGCCACTGCCCCTGTTCCTAGGTAATTTCTCCCCAAAGATCCACCTCCCTGACCCACACATTGAGGTTATCTGAGGACAGCCCCCACCACTGATCTGAAGGTGACATGGCTTTCACATCCCAGGATCACACCTTCTCCCTGACCAAAGCCTCCTTCCTTACTCTGGTGGACTTTCAGGTACTTGCACAGAGCTCCAAAAGCCTAAGCAGCCACCAGGATGAGAGGCTCTTCATCCTTGATGCGGGGTCAGATGAGAGAAGAGGCCAACCTCCCTGCCTCCTCCTTATTCATGAGCCCAAGGTGCTCACAGTGCCAGGGAAACAGAGTTGGGGAGAATCAAGGAGAGCTCAGCCTCTCCCAGAAGACTGATGTGTAAATTGCAACATGACAACATGAAGGTTCATTTGTTCCTCCACCAGGTTCTTTGGGGGCCGGGAGCACTCGCTGTTTTCATCATGACGGTCATCCCAGTTATAACCACACATGCATCTCTGTTTTCAGTGGCTGCCTTCCCCAACAGATCACAAGCTCCACATGGGCAGGGAGTTCCTCAGTCATGTTCACTGGTAGAAAACTTTTGTTTACCTTAGTGCCTGGTACCACTAGCTGCTGAATAAATCGTAAGGGAATAGATGTCGCAGGAAAGAGAGAAACTGATGGAAGGTGGGGTGGTGGTGGGTAGGTGGAGAAGGATCCCCAGTGGAAGTGATAATCTGGCTTGAAATATTAATAAATGCTTTCAAGGAAGACAAATGGGGACAGGGAACATTGCAAGAAGAAGATACAGAATGTAAAAAGCAGGAATCACACTAGACATGCTGGCAGATGACAGATCATGCATTCCCTGAGGTAGAATGCTATAGGGAGATACTACTGTGTCCCTCATGCACAGAAAGAAAGATGAGTGCTTGGGGTTGATTCTAGATTCAGTTTGTGGCCCTGCCACTAATACAGCATTAGTTGTCTTGGGCACATGTGAACCTTTCCAGCCTCAAGGTGCCTTGACCACAAGTGAAACAAGTAAGGTTCTGGGTTAGTGGGGTTGGATCATTACACAGATTTCTTGAGCATTAAGAATGCATGTCATCATAAAATTGATCAACCCCTTGCCCCACTAACAAAGAGAGAAAATGCAAATTACTAAAATATATGATGAAAAAGGAAATATCACAATGGACACTAATGAAATACAGAAGATAATTAGAAACTATTTTGAAAATTTATATTCCAATAAAATAGAAAATCTTGAAGACATCGAAAACATTCTACAGCATATAAACTACCCAAACTGAATCAGGAGGATATACATAATTTAAACAGATGAATTACAAGTAATGAAACAGAAAACACCATTCAAAGCCTACCAATCTA